AGTGAAATTGTGAAGCGCTGCACCAAGCTTTTGTGAAGAAGTGGCAGGTTTTAATGATAAAAATGAGCCAGAGAAAAGATACAGTAATTTTTTCCAGCTGTCAGAATATCAGAAAATCATTTGATCATCCCTCATTAAGCCTAACAACAGAAAAAGTTCACTTCCACATAAAATATAGGCAGAATGATCTTAGGAACTCACTCTAGTATCCAACATTGCAACTGTGGTTAACTTCTAAGAACATGCGTTTTTCTTTACACAAATCTTATTTATTATAGTATGAATTAACGTATACATTTGTCCACCTGTCCAGTGCAAGTTTTGAGTTGTTCCATAACACTTTTCTCATAATAACTCTTTACAAAGCACTACAAGAAACGGAATTTTCCCAAATCCATTTGTTTTACACAAATGTAACCAAATCAGAAGCTAGCTTAAGAAAGACACAAGCTACAAATACTTTTAAGCACACAGAATGCAATGCTTTCTGAAGTCCCTCACCAGTTAAATACCTTTAAAAATATTTTGCATCCTCTCTAGAGTCTAATATGAGCCAGGTGCTTCATCAGCCACATGAAACATTTAAGGAATCTGCCACCATACTCCCTGTGAGAGGTGTCTAAACAGAGAATTCCAACACAATTCCACCTTTCTGGCACCATTTTGTATTTAGACAACTAGCATTCCTTATGATGACACAGCACATGAAAAACCTCACTTTGTGCCTAATATTTCCCATGTCTGTTTACTGCAAAGCCTTAAGATTTAAGCATGACTTCAGTGATTTCGAAAATTATATATAGCAACATAACTGAAGAAATGGCTTTTATAAGCACTTACCTTCATAAAATTCTGATGTACATAATGTTGGGGGAAAAAAAAACAGACCCTAAACCCAAGTGTAGTAGAATCAGTTACCAGAACAATGTTCATGTAACAGCAGCAAGAATACGTTCACTTGGTGACTAACTTTTTCCCTCCCCTCCTCAGATTCTCCTATAGTTCTTTTCTTTAAAATCCCTCTCTCTTGAAGCTATAATCATGACTCCATGGATATTTAAAACAAACAAACAAAAAAAAAATAAAAAGGAATCTATGGACTGAAACAAAGGGGAGATGATAAAGTGATACGGTCAAGTCCAATATGGGCAATAAAGGGTTTCATGTGGGAACTTAGGTCATTTTCTCCCTGTACCTCACAACATAATGTTTTTTTAGATTATTTCAAGTGTTTATTTTAAAGAACAACCCCACAATCTGGAATTATTATGCCATTATACCAATTTACCACAACTCCAGTCAATTTCTTTATTCATGGCAACAGACCTGAAGCTTCTCAGACCTATGTCAAAACCTTTCATCTTACTAATGTCAGTGTTTGTGTATTTTAATTTGGGATAAGAGGGGAGAGAAGGGAAGAGATGAACTCTATGGAATTAAGTGATAAGAGGATACATTGATCAGTCTGCATTTAAGGTTTGAGGTTTTATGGAAGAATTCCAAGTAAAGTTTTTCATGTCTGCTCTTAGATGCATACTTCTCTCCCCCACTCCCTCTCCCTATTACTTGGCATTTAAAGCCGTCTGCTTGTCAGGATAGTAATGTTAGTCGTTATGGAGGCTAGAGGTAGATAGGAATTCAGCTGCTATTGCTACAAAATATCTCACAGGCACTGTTTTCTTAAACACTGATAATAATCTCTCAGACATTTCCTTCCCCAGAAGTTACCAGATTTCATGATGGTCATTAAAATTAGTAACACATTATTTTTGACCAACAATGATATATTATGAATCCACAACTACATGCTCAGCGAGAATTATCACATAAAGCTTCAGACATCAATAAATCCCAGAGTTCCTCTCCAGATTGCTTTTTTTTTTTTTTTACTTCCATTAAACCCAGAGAAGGGAAAAGAAAGTTCACTTTAAGTATATCTAACAATGAAAATGTATTTCTCTAAATAAATAACTCTGTATACATCCAAAGAGATTGTTTGTAGCCTTTTCACCTAAAATCAAATTAATTATTACAAAATTCCTTCATGATAATGAAGTTTTTTAATGAAAGCTTTAATTAAGAAATGGAAGCAAATATGTTAATTTCTCTAACTAGTCAAAATATTTGGTCTTTCCAAGACCACAACAGGGTTTTAATTCCAGATTGTAAACAATATTTAAACCAGTTCATCTAATATAACACTGGGGGGGGAAGTATATATGTGAATTTCATGTTGCTACCTGAGACAGACTGCTCCAAACTTGTAAAACTGCTTTACCTACCAAACGAACTGCAAGAACTCACATCAGCATTTTACCTGCTAGTCAAAACTAAGTCTATGGTAATTCAGAAGGTCAAGTCTTTGAATATAATGGACTAGAATATAATGGATTCAGACTTACTGTATCACCTTCCTGGTGATACTTTTTTCTGTTAGCTTTCTCTTCCCCATATTAATTCTGCTAGCATACAGATTTTATCTCTTTCAAGATCAGCACAGAATTTCTGCTACAAAAAACAAACATGCATTAAAAGCCAAGAACGAGCCTTTGCATGTGTGCTTTCTTCACAAGCTATACTCCCATCTCAAAATTACTATTAAGAAAAGGCCACAACACGCATTCTATGCAAACAGTTTAAAATAACCTTCATGTAATAATGAAAAACCTCCACTGAAATTGTCTGTAGAATTTGGAAATTAAGATCAAAATTGTTCCCATACTCTTAGTGCACTAAGACACAGAACACTTAGTGAGATGAAGTTAAACCAATCACTTTAAAAGTTAACCCATCATACATTAAGAGACAAAGTTAAGATGTGCATCTCAAAATGCCAGTGATGCCTCTCAGGGTCCCAGTTTACCTATACAAAGAGCTAAGACTATCACCCTCTTCCATGAATACCAAAATCCTATAAATATTCACAAAACTGTCTCACTATTCTTTGTTAACAGTTCTCCCACCTAACTGATTCTAAACTATTTTTTATTTTTATAAAATATTTTTTTAAATAAAAATATATGTTTATTTCAGCCCCAATATGGAAATAAATGGTCAATTTAATATTATGAGCATGAAAAGGTGTTTTTATTTCAAAAGCTTCAAATGAAGATATAATTACACTCAATACATGCTGAATTAAGTCAGAAACATCTCAAGTCATCAGTAAAACATTCGGTCAGATAGGGCTGATAAGAACTAGAGAAATGTTGCATATTGCATTCATTAGTTCTTTTTAAAATAAGCTGTCAGCTGAGACATGGACAGAAAGACCATGTTCATTATGCAAATATTATTCAGATGCTCATTATTCAAACAAATTGAGCTTTTGACCATCTTGTTACAGTTGTTCAAAACCAGGAAAAAAAGTTCTATATTAACATCACCCCAAATTAGAGAGGTATGTAGTTTTGTTCCTGGTATATAAATTAACATTCCTCACTGCCATCATGATCTTAAGCAAAGCAGGATGCTGCCTATCATATGTGGGATCCCAGTTCTGTCTCCTTCCGAAGGTGACATGCATTTCACAGCTGCATGGCAGGTCATGCTCTCCCAGAGGGAGATCAGGCTGCCCACAAGTCAGTACAGGACTACAGACAGTGGCAATTCAGCAGCTACAGTGATGCCAAACAGTCCTCACAACACACCAGTCTGACTGAATGACCTCAGCTAGGCTAGAACAGTGAAACCCACACGTCTCTCACTTTTCTAAATCAAGTGTTGTTCACAGTAAAACAGCTACGATCTGCTGCAACACACAGGGCTTGGTGGCAAAGAGTCCCAGAAAGTGCACTGCCCATAAGTAACACATGCTGGAAAACCACATGGCTGCAATAGCCTCTTGAATCATACAATACCTCTCATCTTCCCAACTTTAAACTGCTGGGCAAAAGAGTAAGAAAAGTCAAACAAAAAATAATGAGGAAAATTTGTCTTCGCTCTCAAGTCCATCAAAGCAATCAATGAAGCTTCAAGCTCAGCAAAGACAGAAATATCACCTGACATCCCTGAAATCCTGCACCCAACAGGCAGCCTTTCCACATCTACAGCACAGTGCACTTCTACAAGTCACTCCTCAAAAATCCAGCACACTACAGAGCAAGTGGCAGAAGGTAACCAAGGCATCACTCACATGAATTTCTCCTGAATAATTCAGATTCTACCACTGCCATATTCTGCATTGCCTGCTGATGGATGTGGACAGTGGCAAGTAACAAATTTCACTCCTGGTATGAGTGAGTTTGACATAAAAGTAGTATGAGCTCTACAACTGGGGCAAGTAGGAAACTGTCCTGCTTCTACTGCCCAGGAGGAGAGATAAAATCATGTGCATTGCATTGCCATCTTGGTATGGAGAACATCACCCTACTTTCAAAAAAGACAGCTGCTTCCTGGGGTGGCAACTGAGCTGGGCAACCGAAGACAGGATGAAGAGGAAGGCAGTCTAAAAATGCCTGCAATGGAACAGCTGACACATAGCATCAAGGCAGGCATGATAGAGACTCAATGAAAAGGACACTCGATATTGTGCTGCCAGATTCACACAACCATAAAAGTCACAACTGTTTTATGTTCACCAGCAACTAGTCACAGAGTCCACTGATTCAAACAGCACCTCCATTATTCTGGCAGGTGACTGTAGCACTACTACTCCATTCATGTATCGCCATTCTTAACAGTATGCCCTGCCTTCCCTTTCTAAGTCCAGAAAATTTTAAAGAAGTTAATCTTACAGAATGTGCAGTTTTCTCTTATGCAATAGGCAGCATATAAGACACTGGCAATATAGATAACACCATTTAGAATGCCATTAAAATTAGGTGGGAGACATCATCACCTTCCTTCACAAGGAATCAATTATACATTCCTTAATTCACAGGAACGGAAGTAACAAACAAGGAATGCAAATAGTGACTTGGTGACATAGGTACTGAACTGAGGTAGGAAGTGAGCTTATTCTACTCTAGGAAAATCAGATTTCTAAGAAGTTGGCATACTGTGCTACTGAGATGAGCTCAGTTGGTTGGAATGTAGAACTAATAATGTCAAGGCGGTGGGTTCAACTCCCATATGGGCCATTCACTTAAGAGCTGGTCTTGAGGATCCTTGTGGGTTCTTTTCAATTCAGAATCTTGGGATAATCCCTTCTTGCTGGCAAGTTCTGGAAGAGTCAATCTTGACCACAGCCCCTGGAAGACCAAACATCACCTAATGTCACTTTGAGATTACCAAAGGTACACATTTCACTTGGGCAGAAAACATCAGTGCACATGGCAGAACTTCGAAAGTCTGCTCAAACTGCACCACTCCCCTGGCAGCTTTAGCAGTCTTCACATCTGGCTAACTAATGACAATTGGTGTCTTGCAAAAATACATGAACAAAACTAGAGAAAACCAAAGGCTGTCTACAGCTGAATGGCTAAGGCCTCTCTATTTGCCATTCAATAATCAAGCATTTGCTCATACCCCACATTAATTCTCAAAGGTAAGATTTCATTCCAAAGGCTGATTGTCCACCAGGGGCACTGCAACTATCTATATTACAGAGTCCACCCTTCTACTTTGCTTATGGTTTGCACTGCATCTTCCCAGCTCAAACTCCTGAGATCATCTACACTACAGCATCTTACCTGCAGAACTCTGAAGCTGCACACACTGCACCAAACAAACAGCACATCTAAAGGCAGTGGTCTCCTTCAGTGGTATTACCTTCTGTAAAAGGAAAGAGTACTCAGACAAAAACTACAAAACTCATCTCTCTATATGAGATTTTTTTCAACATTATAGCAGTCTAACCACTGCAGGTAAGAGATACTGAGAGCTTTTATATAAAGCCTTGCTACAAACAAATACACAGCTTTACCAGCACCGAGACTTAAGAAGTTGTATTCCTACATTAGGAACGGAAACAGCCAAGTAGCTATTACATATGTTTCTCTGACCAGCTTAGTCTCATGACAGTAAAATTATGCAAGTGTCTACGGTCATTTGAATCACATGCCTCAAAAAGTGCTGTTGCAAGCCACAGACCACTTTTTCTCAAATTTCACACTAACCAGATTTAAGAGTAACACCAAGTTGATATTTTGCAGTGGTGAGACAAAGTTGATGAACTCAAGTATCACCCAAAAAGATCAATCATCAATGCAATAACATGATCTTCAGTTATTTACACTCAGCATTTTACATACTGAAGGCTTCTTCAATGAAATCTATCCATTTGGAAATGTAATAACTATTTTCAAGGGCAGCCTACTTAAGTCACTCCTTTTTAATTAAGGATAAATTAAGTATTAATGAATTCAGAGTTCTTATGCTGTTCCCTTACTGTCTGTAAGAAAATACTCTACAAAGGAAGGGGCAAAAATCATGTTCTCCTTTTGTACCTCTCTCTGTTGTGAAATACACCCTCTGAAGTTGACCACCAGCACTGTTTACACAGGGATTGTATAGAAACAACTTTATAAAGTAGACAGTGTCTGACTACACAAACTGACAGAATTTCCTCAGCCCTTCAAAGTCTCAAGTCTGAGCAATGACAACACCATTTAGTGACAACAGTTTCCAGGACACTCATATTCACATTGCCTATTGGAAGTGCCTTATCACCAGAAAGGATTGCAGTCCAACCATCATGCCTGACAGCTACAGTGGGTTTTTCCATGTTCACTTTCTTTCCTGTACTTGGTCTTTCTGTTTTCAAGTTTAACTCAAGGCTGCATCCTTTCTTGGTCAACCAACTTGAATTTCAGAAAGTTTAATATTAAACATTACAGTCATTCTGACAAAATAAACTTACTAATGGTACAAGACGAAGCATCCTGAGCCCTGAAAACTACAGCAGAAAGAATGGGATGAAATTCAGCATGTCCTGGATTCTAAACCCTAAAGCTGACAAGCGATCACAACTACATAATTTTTATTCCCAATATTTTGAAGTATCAAGTTAGTGATCTACACAGGCCTTTTGTATCATCATAGAACTTCTCTCTCCCTGAATTCTTACAAAAAAGAAGAACTAAAGATGAAAGTGACAGACTAACTTCAGAGCCTGGAACTGAATGTTTTTCATAGCCTCTAACATGAACTTGTAAAATGCAACAGGCTGCTGTAACAAAGCCAAGATAACCGAGGTTATCTTGGATTGTCCTCCAACCACACCCAGGAATGCAATGCATGCCAGAACTCCACAGTTGGTCACAGACATGGGCGCAGGAGGAATCACAATGTGCTCTGAGTCAGTTTCTCACCGCTGGAATAAGGCATTGAGGCGGGCTTGCTATAAATATCCAGGGCTGGAGATACAGGAGGAGATTGGAGCCATATGTGGGAGACCCAAATACCAATTACACACTGAGCAAAGTTCCAGCAATACAAAATTAAGAAATAAGAGGAGATTCAGGAAATGGCCTGCTTTATGGCGTACAGTCTGTACGTTCTGAACTCTCACAGAAACAGAGCAACCAAGAAATAAGACTGGGAAAGAAATCAGAAGTTTGGGCTACAGAAAAATCCCCTTTCTGTATTATATACCAATGCATACAATCCTGCTACTGAATTTATGTTTTCTACATAGAACAAGTAAAATCTGTGTGAAAAAACAGATTAACTAGTAAGGCAAAAATCCCAAAAGATGTGACTGACCACAGGAGCTAACTTCACAGAACATACCTAAAGTTTGCCCAAGCTTAAGATATATTCATAGCTGAACATGCATGTGATCTCCTCCAGTTTTTGCAGTTAAATTGTCTTACTCCCTTTTTTTGTGGTTTGTTTGTTTCATGGGGAGGGGAGGATGTTTTTCTACTAAGAACATTTTTACTTTTCAAAATATTCTCTATAGGTGAGTGTCTTTTCTAATAAAAAGGATTTTTAAAATTTTGTTACTGCTAAATTCCTCTTTTAGAACCTACCCAGGACTTACAAAAACATGAATATCTGAATAGAAGTTTAAAAATTGTCTTACATTTCACAAGAGTGAAGACACCTAAAGCAAACTTGTAAACATTTTTTCCTAAAGGGGTAGAGAAGCATTTGATAAGTATTTGACATACTTATTTCCCTGATACTGGAAAGAAGGTTAGAAAGCATTCCTAAAATATTTCATCGTCTTGAGATTCACAGTAGGAGACTGCATTTCCTGTTGGATAATAGTATTTTGTTACACATAAAAAGGACTATGTCAGTAAAATTAAAACAGCTATGACACGTGAAGCTCTCAGCAGAGCTCCTGTTTGGTTTGAAAGGAGACTCCCGAAGGGCCCAAGGGACTTGGGCAAGCAAGAGGGATGACTGAACACCTCTGTAAAACCCAAGTATCCCAGGTTGATGATCATTGTGTGAAGTTAATTTATGCTCACGCTGCTACAAAATCAGAACCTAAACCTCGGACTAATTCTCCTTTATAAAATTATTTTGGGAATGGGAAAGAAAAAAAACAATGTGCTTTTTGTAGATATAATTACCCAGAGATTATGGGAGCAGGCAATGTGTGTCAGTATTACTGACTAAGCATTATGTCCTAGGACTGAGAAGAAAAAAAGTAAGGAAATAACACCATGAATAAAAAAGCATTGTTGGCATAGCTATTGCTAAGTGACATCTTATCTAGCTTTTATAGTGACTAGTTATTGATTAGCATCACAGAAGAAATAGATTTTGAGTCTGCATATTGATAACATCAGTGTCATGATGTTTAAAACCAAATCCAAGCAAGACTCAAGTCTTCAAACTAAAGAAACATTTAAATTTATCTACTAAATACACTGTAAGAACACCTATTGTTTATTTACACTGTACTACATTTCAAAGGTTCAAACTTTCAACATATCAGTAACTAGTAACTTTTTCTGAATCTCTTTTAAGTGGTTAAAGATTCTCCCTATGCAAACAATTAGAGGGACTTTTTAAAGATCTCACTGAATTTAAAGGTCTAGGTTGAGATAAATTCCAAGACCATAAAAAGATCTTCTACACTATGTTCTCACTTACATTAGGATACACATTTTAAAAAGGAATAAATGTCCTGAGGATGTCCCACAATTTTATAGAGAATTCTATTTCATAGAATCTCTCAAATGCTAAAGCTCACAAAATCTTAAGACAAAAAGATGTAGTATTCAGTATTTAAGAAATTATGGAGAAATTCACAAGATTAGTTCAAGGAATAAACAGATTACACAACTAATGAAAGAAATGAGAACTCACAGAATACACTCTTAATTTCAGACAAGTGCTAACAAATACCTCCTGCTATAATTTGAATCCAGTCCACCCAGGATTTGAAAACTACAAGACATTCACTTTCACCTATAGTATTAAGCTGTTGGCTTCCATAGCATTTTACTTACTATTTAAAAAAAAAAATAAAACAAAACAAACAAACAAACAAAAAAACAACAACAAAACAAAACAAAAAACCCCCTGTTGTTCTAAGGACTCCACAGATTACTACCCATTACAGACTTGGTCAGTTACACAGATGATACAGTTCCCCAGAATTCAGAGCATGAAAAGATATAATTCTGCAAGAGAAGGGGGTAAGGCAGGAATGTAGCTGAGACACAGGCTTTGCTGGACAGGCTGCCCTGAGACACTCCCTGCAAATTCCCTTCTCTTCACGCCCACGCCCCCTCACATCAGGCATCCAGATATGACACGCAGCAGGAAGGGCCTGGCCAGCCTTCCTCGTGGGTCGGGTACACTGCAACACCTTGGGAAACCTACAGCAACTGCACACAGCCTCACAGGCTACAGCCAGGGTACCTAACTCGGGGCTGGGAAACACTGCAGCGTACACAAACCAAAGCCGCTTTCAGCTGCCTTGTTTGGCACAGGTTCTGGTAGTGCCTGCATCAGTTCTGAGACTCCAAAACAAACAAACATTTTCTAACAAACTACTACAGTCATAATACTTTAAGACAACTCAGAAGCAATAGCTATATCCTGCTTTAGAAGCTAGCACAGCTTACTGTGGTTGTCACTTATTACATTCCACCAGAGCAGCAACTGACACAACCAAATAAAAATATAATCTACTGAACCCCCCTTTTTTTTAATCCCTGCAGTTAATGTGCTCATGAAGTTCATCCTTCTGTGATAGAGGATGAAAACCAGTGAGTTTTAGGAGGCACCAACAGTCCTCCACTTGGGTACAACAGCTAGAGAAACCTTCAGCAACACCCTGCCTTTTCTGCAAAGCCTGAGCAAGTGCACCAGTGGGCCACTGGAGATGCCTCATTTCCTCTGCATCTTCAAGGCTTACGCAAGGTTTTACCAGCTCCAGCTGCACTAACTGATAATATAAAAACATCTGAGAAGGAGCAGGGTAAGGTCCAAAGTGAAACATTGGGTATGTACAGCATATAGTATGTTTAGTTCCATAAAATTAATTTAGTGTTATTCCTGAATCCTGCTTTTGCTCATTCAAGTTTGTGACTGGCAGAGCTACTTTACCCTTCAGCACACACATATAAAAATAACTGTGCAGACAGGATCCCAAGGTGTACTAATAAGACAGTTCAAGCCTAGACAGCAGGACATTTCAGTCTATTCCAAAGGAGCTTAATACTTAATGGAAGCATAGACACCTAGAATTACACAGCTAAGTGCCAATATATGTTTTTTAAAATATTAGAGCTGGAAAAATTCACCTGTCCTGAGAAGGAAAGAAGCCAAATGGCAGAAGACATTTCCAGAATTTCTCCCTTCAG